TGTTGTGAAGTTTGGGATAACTGTAGTAGTTATAATTCAGAAAAATTAGAAATTTTTCAGATGGAAGCAGCTCGGTTTGTTACAGGAAATACAATTTGCGCCTCCAGACAATCTTTATATTTTGAAACTGCATGGTCAAAATTAAGTGAAAGAGAGAGAGAGAGAGAGAGAGAGAGAGAGAGAGAGAGAGAGAGAGAGATGGGGTTTAACGTCCACTCGACACAAACTAGGTCATTTCGGGACTAACATATGGTTTAATTTTATTTCAATAATTCGCTTGCGCGTAGGGGTCTTTAGCTGTGGGGGGAAACCGGAGGACCCGGAGAAAACCCACGAGGTTGGACAGGCGACCCTTCTCCTTGTCACGTACCACCGAGGAATCGAAACCACGCCAGTTGACTCAATGACAGAATTTATGGAACAGCGCGCACGTGCTAACCATACAGCCATCCCCCACAACACCCCACCCACCCCCGAAAGAAGAAAGCTTAGACGTTTGTATCAGGTACATAAAATAATCCATGGAATCTGTCCCGTGTATTTTACTAATACTATACACTTTGTAAACGAATCCCAAGCACTTTACAATTTACGAAACTCCAACATTCGGGAATCCCGTTGTCGTGTTAGTATCAAACGAAAATCATTCTTTCCGAAAACTATTCGTGAATACAATAATTTATCAAAAGATTATAAAGACATTGCAAACTTTAAAGAATTAAAAAAATCTCTAAAACCTAAAATAAAGCCCCCAAAATTCAGAAGTATCGGTTCTAGGCCACTCTCTATATACCACAATCGTATTCGACATGGATGTAGTAGTTTAAACTTCGATCTATTTCGTTCACATATAATTGAAAATCGATACTGTAGTTGTAACGCTATTTATCACCCAATAATAAATTATACAGTAGATATCGCTTTACATGAATTTGATATGTTAGTTGAAAAGGAATTACTTTTTTTTATTTTCAAAGAACAGTTCATTTCTTATTAAAAGTAACTTTTTTTTTATTAAAAATGAACTATTGTTATTCAATTGACCTTGATGGAAACACTGGGTCAATATAAAGGACTTTGCAATGGTTGAATTGCTGTCAAAAAATGATGTATCACTACGCCGTAATGTTCAGTAAAAGTGAAATCTACAGCAAAGAACTATATTTATCTATTTGTGCATGTAAGAAGGTATTGGGTGATAAATAAAATCTCCTACTCGTCTTTTTTGATATCAAAAAATATCAACACTCGTTGATAAAGTAAAAAAACCTCGGCAGAGCCTCGTTTTTTGTTATTTTATCAACTTATGTTGATATTTTTTGATATCAAAAAAGACTGGTAGAAGATTCTCTATATCTATCGATCTTCGTATCATTATTTTTTGATTGCGCGAAGTATAGTACTCAACGCTGTGACTTTCAGTAAACTGCCATGGCTTGGAAATATTTCTTTCACTGAATTACACGAAATATTTCTCCATGGTTCATCGCTACTATCAAAAAAAAAAAATCAAATGTTAGTTTTACTTATTCAAAGGTATATCAAAGACTCGAAACGTTTTACATATAATTAAAAACAAATACTATAATAATGTACCAAAAAGTAAACGTATTATTATGCATTAAATAATATACTTTACAAGGAAGTTTTGTAAATAGATGTACATATGTTTATGTTAGTTAAATTAAAAATCAATTCGCCATACTATTTTACATAAAAGTTTGACTGATATTTTGGGAGAAGATTCATAATTTGTTTTAAATTGTTCTTATCCCTTTGTAAAGAATATTAATTTTTGCAATAAAATGGAGGGGGGGTGGATGGCCGAATGGTTAGCACGCGCGCGCTGTATCACACGGTCTATCATTGAGTTAACTGGAGGGGTTTCGATTCCACGGTTGTACGTGACAAGGAGTAAGGTCGCCTGTCCAACCTCGTGGGTTTTCTCCGGGTCCTCCGGTTTCCTCCCACTGCTAAAAACCCCTACGCGCAAGCGAATTATTGAAATAAAATTGAACCGTGTCTTAGTCCCGAAATGACCTAGTTTGTGTCGAGTGCTAAAAACCCCTACGCGCAAGCGAATTATTGAAATAAAATTGAACCGTGTGTTAGTCCCGAAATGACCTAGTTTGTGTCGAGTGGACGTTAAACCCCATTTCTCTCTATCTTTGCAATAAAATATGTTTTAGTTAGTTACGGGACTGGCCTGTCCAACCTCGTGGGTTTTCTCCGGGTCCTCCGGTTTCCTCCCACTGCTAAAAACCCCTACGCGCAAGCGAATTATTGAAATAAAATTGAACCGTGTCTTAGTCCCGAAATGACCTAGTTTGTGTCGAGTGCTAAAAACCCCTACGCGCAAGCGAATTATTGAAATAAAATTGAACCGTGTGTTAGTCCCGAAATGACCTAGTTTGTGTCGAGTGGACGTTAAACCCCATTTCTCTCTATCTTTGCAATAAAATATGTTTTAGTTAGTTACGGGACTGGGCTGATGGACGGGACTGGGCTGATGAACCTGGGCATACGCCATACAGTGCGGCCTACTCTTATTTCGAATTCCAACTATCAGGGGATCTTTTACGTGCACGCCAATGTGTACACGAGACCTCGGTTTTGTATCACCAGAACGACTAGACCCCCCTCCCCACGTACTGCACCACTGACAAGGTGGAAACAACGCCGGAAGATCTCCTCTAACTCCAGGGTCGATCACAACTATATGTGGAGTGAAATGGAATGAAATGGGTTTAAACGTCCTACTGTTCTGCTCCTAAACTGGGCTAATGAAGACGGGCATACGCCATACAGTGTGCTATGAGGGAAATTTGCCCGGGCAGCGGCGCTACGGCCTACTCTTATATCGAATTCCAACTGCCAAGGGATCTTTTACGTGCACGCCAATATGTACACAGGACCTCGGTTTTTCGTCCCATCCCTGCGACTATACAGCTGTACTTGTCAGGCCCCCCTGCATCACTGACAAGGGAGAACCACGCCGGAAAATCTGGATGAACAATCTCAGCCAATACAGGGATCGAGCACCCGACCTCCAGGCCAGCGAGCCAGCGTCTTACTCACTTAGCCACTGTGATCCCCCTATAAGTGGAGTAATACTGGACAAAATGATATCGGTAGTCTTATTAATATCCTATCTATTGAAGATACATTATGGGAGATTAGATAAAGAGCTGTAAGTACTCACTATAATATACTATTCAAAAAAAGTAGGGGATATTTGATTTTTAAGTGTTATTAAAGTCACCTAATGAAACTGACGAAGAAACAAATGACAAAATGAAATGAAGTTCACATTCATCGATTTATTCCAAATGATCGTTAGACTAAGTAAGGCACAGACTGACCATTATAAGGGTAAAATGATATCCGGGGTCAAACAGCAAAGTTACCACAGCATCACAACCAAGTCAGTAACGGGTAAATCCTCCTCTGTTTGCCAAACAAGCATTGATCCGACGTGGCATACTCCTAATGAGACGTCTAAGGTCATTTTGGTCCAGATTGTCCCATTCCTGTTGCAACGCAGCAGCAAGTTCTTGGACATTGGCAGGACGTTGTTGACGTTGACGTAACCTCTGTCCAAGCATGTCCCAGACATGCTCGATGGGGGAGAGGTCGGGACTCAGTGCTGGCCAAGGTAATGTGGTGATGTTCTGTTGTTGGAGGTAACCTGTAACGATCCTGGCCCTGTGACATCTTGCGTTGTCACCATGGACTGCCAAGATGTTGTCCCGGTAGTACTGGCCTGTAACACGCCCTGCAACAACATGTAAAGCCGTTCTTCCAGCAACAGTGATGCCTCCCCACACCATAACAGAACCACCCCCAAATCGATCATGTCTGATGACGTTAACGTCTTGGAAGCGCTCGTTTCGACGACGCCACACCCTCCTACGTCTGTCCAAAAAATCAACAGTGAACCTTGACTCATCTGAAAACATCACATTGCTCGATTATCCCAGTGTTGACGATCCCTACACCAACGACGTCTTGCCTGAATGTGATGATCTCTCAAACAAGGGATCACGCGAGGACGTCGGGCGCGAAGGTGACCCCTATGCAGTCGATTCCGAATCGTCTGGCCACTCACTCTCACACCAGTGTCTGTTTGAAGACGAGCGCTGATCTGATTTGCTGTGATGACACGATTTCTCAAGGCCAAGGTACGGATAAATCGATCCTGGGCTTGAGTTGTCGCCCTTGGTCGACCTGAGCGTGGTCTGTCCTGTACAGATTGTGTATCACGGTATCTGGACCATAGCCTGCTTATGACAGACTGAGAAACATGCTTCTTTTCACGTACAACAATTGAGGGCTTGAGCTCATGGCTGATTACAGACTTGTAATCACAGAAACAACGTATTGGATCTTCCAACCTTCCCACCTCACTAATTCTGTTTTAATCCAATACGAGCATGCTATGGGCCAGGAACCCGGTGTGGCTTTATCGCAGCCATTTTGGAATTGTGAAGTCAATCGATGCGCAATTGTAAGGCACATGTCGATCGTAAATGAACTAGCGGAACTTAATTGTTTCGAAAAGCGTCGCCACCAAGGAGAAGAACAACAAGGTTAGTAGCTCTTGGGACCCAGTTCCTGATCAATAAAAATAATTGGTAGCAATGTATAAGGCTTACAAATTATTCTAATACCTATATCTATACTGGAGGCCACGGTGGCTCAGTGAGTAAGATGTTGGCTCGCTAACCTTGAGGTCCCGTGTTCGATCCCTGCGTTGGCCGAGAAAGTTCATCGTGATTTCCCGGCGCGGTTTTCCCCCTAGTCATTGGTGCAGGATTGGGAGCCTGACAAGGGACAACGTATAGTCGTTTGGATGGAACGAAAAACCAAAGTCTCATGTTCACATTGGCGTGCACGTAAAAGATCCATTGGCAGTTATGAGTAGAGTGTAGCTCACTTTATGGCGTAAGCCCGTCTTCATTAGCCCAGTCGGAGCAGAACAGTAAGACGTAAAACCCCATTTCATTTTTTATTCATACGTATAATAACAATTGCGATCAATTTATTTTAAATTAAGCCACGTGGTTTGTACTCTATATAAATTTCCAGCCCGGTTTCCCCTTGTCTATGAGTAAGGACGGGGGGTCACATAAGATAAGCGTCTAATAGTTCGGACAGGGCGAAAATCCGAAGCCCAACTATGTTCTCGTGCGTGTAAACAGTTTAATTCGATTCCTAGCACACTGTATGGTGTATGTCCGTCTTCGATGATGTACAAAAGTAAAACGGTAAAACCCTATTTAAATTAATTTATATATTCAAGTAAATGAAGTATACTACAATCAGGATATTAAAAAGGAGCATTTGTATAAAGCCCCTAAAATGTAATAAATATAGAAGATTATAAAATTCGAAACACTCTTGTATGCTTCTGTAAAACACTACTGATTAGAGATGGCCTCTTGTAGTATACCACGGCATATGATCTGGTAGCGTATAGCATGAAAACATCCTTTCCATGGACCGCCTTTAAAGGTATGAGTTACTTCCCCTCTTCTATTCAAATAACCGAACCAGTCGCCATTTTCTTTATCCACAAACTAAAATAAATAAAGGATTAATCTATTATAGAATTATCTCCGCAGGAGATCCGATTGGTCATCGAAACTGTTAGTTAGCGCATTTGTTAGTGTTGTTGTTAGTAATATTGATTCTTGAGAGTGTCCAGGAAATTTTTCTTAAATATTGGATATCAGAAGCCCATCTTTTCCCGGTATGATCACAACATCAATGTTGATTTAAATTGACAAATAATTCATGTTTTCAATTATTTATGACTTATCATGACTGCCGACAATGAAAACTAAACAGTCCTTATAATTATCTGGTTGTATTTTGCATAAAACTTGTGTTCTGTCTACGATTGTCTATGTATTTCTCAATCTGGTTAAAACACAGATCCTATTTCGTTTCGTTTTTATAGTTCAAAATTTTGTTTTACTTGTCTTTACTACACTTGGATCTGGAAGAGTTGTTATTTAACTCGTGTTCTGAGTGGTGTCAGGAATAAGCCAATGAAACGGTCTGTTACGGCGAGCTTTAGGCGTGTTTTTCACGGAACTGTGGGTAATCCACTAGTAACATCAATGCTGATTGGTTAATCAAATGACTGACGTCATAGGGTCATAAGTCGGTCTTTTGATCCCTGACGTGACCTATCGCTATAACTTGTCAGATCTTCATGTAGTGTAGGTCATCGAAAGTATAAAAACAAGAAACGAAATATAGATCTGTATTTTAATCTGATTGTGTATTTCTATTATCAACCTGATTAAAACACAGATCTATATTTCGTTTCGTTCTTTTTATACTTTCGATGGTCTACACTACATGAAGATCTGACAGTTGTAGTGGGAGGTTAACGAGCGTTGATGTTTCTAGTATGATACCCACAGTTCCGTCCATCACACGCCAAGAATTCGCCGTAACAGACCGTTTCATTGGCTAAACCCTCACTTCAACCAAAACGCCGGTAATATAACAACTCTTCCAGATCCTAGTGTAGTAAAGACAAGTAAAAAAAAAAAATAACTAAACAAAACGAAATAGGATGTGTATTTTATTCAAACTTGTCACTTGAATCTGTAGAATTATCATGCTAAATGAGGCTAATCAATTGGAAATTAAATAAAGAATGTGAAAGAACTGGTTATGCTAACATGGTCATAACAGTAGTCAAAAACTTGCTGAAATTTATCTAAGAATTGTGAATCCTGGGTGGTCTTCCAGGCCAACATAAAACCAATTAAAACTTCCGTGTGTGGCCACCATAACTTCATATCCCATCCCAGCGGTGTCGGAGAAAATCCATCAACATCAAGCATATGGAATAAACCACCATATTTCTCATCCCACGCTCCTAAAGTTAAAAATGAAATAAAAAAAATTTCCACAATGGTGTCCCAATATTACCTTAATCTCCAAAAGAAACACCATTTCAGACTGTCATTCAATCTTCATGAAATTTGTAGCAAAGATAAGACTACACAGAATACAATACATATAGTCATTGTCAATCTTCAGGGAATTTGTAGCAAAGATATGGCTATACAGAATATGATGCATAATGAAATGGAGTTTAAAGTCCAGGCGTAGAGCGGGTATAGCCATAACTCCGAAAGTGGGCGTAGGCCATCGCCACCAGGCCTATGTTACTCCCAGGTCCGCGCTAACCCTGTACACGAAATTTCAGCTTCAGACATCCCTGAACACAGATAGAGAGAAAGAGAGAGAGAGAGAGAGAGAGAGAGAGAGACGCAAACTAGATCATTTTGGGACTAACGTGTGATTTGATTTTGTCTCAATACTCCGCTTGCGCGTTTGGGTCTTTAGCAGTGGGAAGAAACCGGAGGACCCGTAGAAAACCCACGAGGTTGAACAGGCGACCTTAATCCTTAAGCCCTACCTTTGAAAGGATTGACAATAAATTTATCAATGGCTGTTTTCTGTAATTCTGTATCACCTGTTGATATGGCATATTGAAGTAGAAACCATCCACACTCTATAGCATGACCTGTTGGAGTGGTTCAGAAATAAATTAATAAATAAACATGATATTTACATTACCTGTAGAGATTATTCAACATAACTAATACATATAAATAACTACGATATTTCCATGACCTGTAGAGATGATTCAACATAACTAATACATATAAATAACTACGATATTTCCATAAACTAATAAACATATGATACACTAGTAGGGTGGCCCATGTGCTCTACAGAAATAAAGTCCACCGCTGATAGTTCGAGACTACCACTGAAGCGTACACATTCGCCGTGCCGAGACCAACTTTCTGACAGTATGATACTATAAATAGCCATGGCACGTGCAATTCTCTACAAATCTATCAACTATTACAGCCGTAAAAAATTTATTGTTGACGATTTTGAATAGCAGTGAAATTAAGCTTCTTGGTTATTACAGCAGATTTAGAAATTACGTTCGTTTCATTTTTTAAATCGCTTTATCATTAACTGTACCGTTAAGAGCGGCATCTTTTGGTTTAGTACAAATAATATCTCTGAATCACTCGGATTAGACAGGAACATGATACTAGCAGTAGTTTCATTTTACTTTTACAAGGTTCTTAAAACGATTGTTGAGCTACCTAACGTGCTTATTTCTAAATTCAATTTCTTGTTCTAGCTTTCTGTTATGTTTCGTAAAAAAGTAGTCTTGATTATCCCGACCTGTCAATCAGACGTAGAATGGTCGATAGACTGGTTAAGCGAGACAATTTCAAAACAAGGGCACGTAACCTATCTTTTACTCAAAAGTGTCTGGATGTTATGGACGACACTTGGAACCAGTTTTCAGTCTATTATTTATAGATGATTAATGGTCATAGCTTATTAAGTACAACATGATCGTTTATTTAGTGACTATAATTGTGTGAAACTGATTTGAGGCTTGGCATATATATAAATATTGTGGCGTAATTGTCGAGATATATGGAGATATTTATTTATGGTGGGTCACCCTACACTAGAAGAATGCCCGGCTTCGCTCGGGGGTCATAACCCCGAAACCGGAAGTAGTAGACTAACGCCATCTGGTCTATGTTACTCCCCGGTCCGAGCTACTCCTATACCCCAAATTTCAGACTCGGGGCAGACCTAGTATAGCCGCCAAGCCCGAACAGACAGAAAAACCGACAGACAAACGACAGTCACAAATATTAGTATAGAATATTTACATGACTTTTGTGATTCAACATTAACTAATGAAAAGATGTGAGATTTTACCATGCATCTTATTTACACATACAGCTACCCGTAGAGATGAAGGAGCCAATGTTTTGTATAACATTTAGTCTTTACTGATATGAAATGAAATGGGGTTTAACGTCCTACTGTTCTGTTCCGACTGGGCCAATGACGACAGGCATACGCCACACAGTGTGCTATGAGGGAAAGTTTGCCCGGACAGCGGCACTATGGACTATCTTACATCAAATTCTAAATGGCAAGGGATCTTTTACGTGCACGCCAATGTATACACGGGTCCTCGATTTTTCGTCCCATCCGAACGACTAGACAACTGTCCTTTTCAGGCCCTCCGTCCTGCACCACTGACAAGGGGAAACCACGCCGGAAAATCCCGATGAACTTTCTCGGCCAATGCAGGGATCGAACACGTGACCTCCAGGCTCTTAACTGACATAACCTGGTTTATAGCCGAATGACAGGTGAAATAATATAATATAATAATGCGAAAGCATTATGACATGCGCCTGGTAAACTTCTGTCTGGATGCAATTTGAGATTCATTGCGTCACGTCGTTGACAAAATATCGTCTGGTCGATTCTTACATGCCGGAAGCGCAGTGTTTCATTTCATTTCCTCAAATCTACATAGCGATATTAAAAGCTAGCCTAGGATACCCCGATATAAAATAAGCATATTGAAACTACCTGGATTTAGATGTCTGCCGAAACTGTTTGATAATTCTTTGCCATCAGGTGAAACATATTCTAAAATAACACTCCCTTCTCTCTGTTACAAAAGATCAATATAGATATGACTGATGTAATAAATGAAATGAAATGGGGTTTAACGTCCTGCTGTTCTGCTCCGGCTGGGCTAATGAAGACGGACATACGCCATAGAGTGTGCTATGAGGGAAATTTTGCCCAGACAGCGAATCCACAGCCTACTCTTGTATCAAATCCCAACTGCCAAGGGATCTTTTACGTGCACGCCAAAAATTGTTATATGAGACTGTAAGAGGGTATCTGACAATTCAAAAAAGTAACCGAATGTCATTAGATATGAGAACACGAGAAAAAAAGAAATTGTGCGTACATTCTCTTGTGTTTATTCATTCTATACTTAATAAAAACATGGTAATGCAAGGACTTTTTCTATTTTTCTTTCATGTTCTCTAGTGACAGTCAATTCTTTTTATGAATTGTCAGATATCCTCTCACAGTCTCACACAACAACTTTTAGTCTTCGATGGAATTATTAGTGAGCAGAAATTCCCCATGTATCTGTTATCACTCGTCACTTCAGTCAGTTATATAGCGAGATAACTCGTGATAATGACTGGCACCAATATTGTCCTTTAACCAATCAACCCAAGCTATCAATCGAATTATGAGCCCAATGACGCACCTGAATATGAGATAGTATTTCTTGAACACATTTCTCTTCGGCACTCTTCAGTTCTTTCTTCTTCTCAGCTAGAAGTATATAAACATGATAACAACAGCCATCACAATATCACAATATTTATACTGATGGGTGTTATCTAGTAGCCCCCACCCCCAGAACTTCCACCACCAGCTATCACAATATCACAATATGTATACTGATGGGTATTATCTGGTAGCCCCCACCCAGATCTTCCACCAGCAGCCATCACAATATCAGACTATTTGTACTGATGGGTGTTGTCTAGTAGTGACCCACCCCAGATCTTCCACCACCAGCCATCACAATATCACAATATTTATACTGATGGGTGTTATCTAGTAGTCCCCCACCCCAGAACTTCAACCACCAGCCATCACAATATCACAATATTTATACTGATGGGTGTTATCTAGTAGTCCACCACCATGATAGTTATTCTGGTAGGCGGTGATGTGCCGATTGTTTATTTATCTTTAATCATTCAATTCTTTTCGTTTGTCTAAACCGTGTTGTATAGGTTCTCATATTTCGCCTAAGAAGGAAATAAATTCTTGCTTAATTAGTGAATCAATCGATAGTTAAAAGATATTTGTATTAATGTTGTTTAATTAACCTCTTTATTTCACCTATGAATGTTGAGGTGTATATCATAGTTTGTACTGCTCGCTGTATCATAAGCTCTGTCATTGAGTCAATTGGCGTGGTTTCGATTCCCCGGTTGTATGTGACAAGGACTAAGGGCGCCTGTCCAACCTCGTGGGGGTTTTCCGGGTCCTCCGGTTTCCTCCCACTGCTAAATACCACTACTCACAAGCAATTTATTGAAATAATGTGTTAGTCCCGAAATGACCTAGCTTGTGTCGAGTGGACGTTAAACCCATTTCTATCTATCTATCCTGGTAGAGTTCATGTCGCAATGTGGTCAGCGTCATAGAAACTGGATCTTCTATTTTAACAATTGACTCCTCTCTACTTTACGTAGGTTATTATGGTTATTATAAAGGTGGCGGTATGTTACGTATAAAGGTGGTTGTGTCTATTGTCGTCTACATGCTAGAGACAAACCTGGCAGAGCTCATATTGTAATGTGGTGAGCGTCTTGGAAACTGAGTCTTCGGTCTATAAGGTATGTCATTTACACGATATGTTACTTAAAAAGGTGGAAGTGTCTATCATCGTTTGTGCAGAGGAGACAACATACCTGGTAGTGGTAACTGACAGAGATGAAGAAGTACCATAGGTACAGCTAGAAATGATGAAGGTGTATGGCCAGCTAGTGGAGTATTTCCTAACTCAGTGTCATCAACTTGTGCCCAATAAATTATCTTATCTAACATGGATATACCTTCTTTCTGAAATATATCACATTGAAATTAGTCATAATATAAAGCGATTGATCCAGAAGGAACTGTAACAAGGATAATAACCCAACCAGCTTCCATAGAACAAATAACAATCACTTCTACATTAGGAACCACAATAAATACAGCTGGACACTCACTTCAAGATTGGGAACAGGCTATATATGATGGAGGTATCTGACCAGATAGTGGAGTATATCCTAACTCAGTGTCATCAATTTGTGCCCAATAAACTATCTTATCTAATATCGCTATACCTTCTTTCTGAAATATATCATACTTAAATGCGTCATCATTCAAACCGCGTCTTCACGGAGAATTCGGATAGCTAACCAGACGAGGTAATCACCTCTTCAGCTTCCATGGATAGGTTTCTTCCTTACGGATAAAAAACAATGTTTGCCCAATGCTGTTAGGGGTAACCTACTGCACAAAGTGTCTGACAGTGGTCATTCATGATTCCTGTCGTGGTACTGAAAAACTCCAAAGCCATTTTAAGTGGTACAGATTTCAGCTAATCTAGCCTAGCTGTGATCTGGAAATTAGATAAGTCTTGTCAGGGATACTTCACCACTACATGTCCGGCAATTACATGTACATAGCTCTGTCTGGGGTACCCCAGCACAAGAAATGTCTGTCGGAGTGTTTTTGTAATACCTGAAGATGTACGGTACACTGCTGTACAATTTTCATGTGGTACACTTTTGAGCTAATCTAGCCTAGTTGGGTGGCATGGCATTTTGGGCGAGGAATACCGCACCCACCACCAGAAGCCTGGCAGACTTACATTCTGATGATACCAGATATACATGCTGTGATACCATATAGGAGAAAATTGGTATACTTTTCAGCTAGGTTGACCCCCTGGGCCCCTGGTCTATAATCGTGGTGATCCTATCAGGTCTTATCATATATTGAGGTTAGTCGTGGCAATCGTGTTGATCGTATCGAAACGTATATCTTAACGCATCTGCAATCGTAACGCATCGAACGACAATGGGAACCAAGCATAAGATATAATCATTGGAAGGGATTTTTTTAACATCTCGCCGTTTTAGCTGAAATGAAATGAAATGGGGTTTAACATCCTACTGTTCTGCTCCTAACCTGGGCTAATGAAGACGGCCGTTTTAGCTACATTGTAGAGATGATCAGATTAAATATTTTCAACCACGTGACTACAACAGGAAGTAGTATATTGGATACCTGATAAATCTCCTTTTTAGTAACTTCGTATAATTCTAACATGGCCATTGTATAAAATGTCTCTGTAAATATGGAGTTCTGGTATTTAATAGGTCGTCCATCTCGTGTTGTCATAAAATAACATCGTGATGTATCGCTATTCTTAACTTTGTTCATCAGAAATTCGGCCCCTGTAAAAATAATTGGTAAAAACATACACTGAACAGAAATTCGGCCCTTGTAAAAGTAATTGGTAGAAAGATAAATTGAGCTGAGAGTGGGTGTTCCTCAGGGGGTCACGGTGGCTAAGCTGGTAAGACGCTGGCTCGCTAGTCTGGAGGTCGGGTGTTCGATCCCTGCATTCAACGAGAAAGTTCACCCAGATTTTCCGGCGCTGTTCCCCCTTGTCAGTGGACAAGGACAGCTGTCTAGTCATTCGGATGAGACGAAAAAAGAGGTCCCGCGTACACATTGGCGTGCACGTAAAAGATCCCTTGACAGTTGGAATTCAATATAAGCGTAAGCCGTAGTGCCGTAGCACACCGTATGGCATATGCCCGTCTTCATTAGCCCAGTTCGGAGCAAAACAGTAGGACGTTAAACCCCATTAAAGAAAGTAAAGAAAAGGGTGTTCCTCTAGCATCGTCGGGTTAACAACCCAAAGAGTTATACTGATCATCGATCCTGGTTACGGGTCTAATTTACATGTTCAGCTTGGTGTAAAATGCCCTCTTAAAATCTCCGGTGCTGTCCAATAGACCCGCGTTATAGATGAAATCATGAAGTGTTTGGTGCCTTGTGACTCTAAAAGGATATCAGTCTGACACTTTAAACAGACCGGTCTTGGTCCAATTTGTAACTTTTCAATAATGTGATCAGTAGGCTGAAACAAGGTTAGGGGTAAGGCCTTGGCTAGTATCATTATGTGTTGGACCTTGGACGACAGAGAAAGGTTTTGCAGTTTGTCAGGTGGCCCCAGATTTCCCTGTCACGCTACAAAAATACCCCAAGGAAAACCTCTTTCCTTCCTTTTCTTAAGTTTTGGTTGGCAATTTGTGGTTTTTATAAACGCAGTTGGAAGTAGTTAATGTAGCCAACCCTCAATTGTTTTTTGCAAATTTCCAAAGAGTGCTTTGCCTTTTGAGTGGGATACAAATTATAGTGAACACTGAATTTTAACGGACAAAGAAAGACATTTGTTTCGTTTAGACTTGGCTGTAGGCTTGTCGTTTACTCACCACTCTCGGCTGCCTGTAACATCTTAGCTTTATCTTTAACAACATCAGGAGCTGCCCTTAATATACTAGCATACGTATAGACCTATAATACAACAACATCAACAACATAGAGTGTGCGCGCTGTATCATAAAGTCTGTCATTGAGTGGTTTCGATTCCCCGGCTGTACGTAACAAGGAGTAGGGTCGCCTGTCCAACCTCGTGGGTTTTCTCCGGGTCCTCCGGTTTCCTCCCACTGCTAAAGACCCCTACGCGCAAGCGAATTATTGAAATAAAATTAAACCATACGTTAGTCCCGAAATGACCTAGTTTTTGTCGAGTGGACGTTAAACCCAATTTCTCTCCCTCTCTCTCTCTTGTGTCGAGTGGACGCTAAACTCTATCTCTCTCTCTCCCTCTCTCTCACCCTCTCTCTCTCTCTCCCTTCCTCCCCCTCTCTCTCTCTCTCTTAAGACGATCCTGTCCCAAATACACAACACTAGACCACTAGTCCACCAAATTTATCTAATAATAATTATATGTTACCTGTCTGCTTTGAAACCAGGAATATTTTGTATCGTCATAAACTTTACCATCAGCTCCGACACAATTCAAGAAACCTCTAAAAATAATAGATCAAGCATCAAACATCGTGGGCCATGCAGTGTGTTATGAGAGAAAGAGAGGGAGAGAGAGAGAGAGAGGGAGAGAGAGAGAGAGAGAGAGAGAGAGAGAGAGGGATGGGGTCTTGTTGACTATTGGAACAATATGAAGAGTATTTATATACTGATTTAATGGCTGCCATATTTATGAAACAATGGCTGATGTGGTAACTAACGTTAACGTTATATCATGATTCATACAAGTTACTTGTTGATTATTAAAATGTGGCAGGCGTAAGCGAGAGAGAGAGAGAGAGATGGGGTTTAACGTCCATTCGACACAAACTAGGTCATTTCGGGACTAACACATGCCCTGTGTTCTGGGAGAAATTTTGCTGCCTTAATTCCGCCTACTCTTCGTCGAATTCCAACTGCTAAGGGTTTTTTTACGTGCATACCAACATGTACTCTGATCTTCGGTTTTACGTCCAATCCGATCAATTAGAGGTTGTTTCTTGCTAGACCAGCCGTCCTGAAACACTTACAACGGGGGAAACCACGCTGGAAAACCCCAATGAACTTGTATAATAAGCATGGGCGTAGGCGCCAGAGTCTGCCCCCTCCCCCCGATTTGGTGAACAGTCCATTTTTCGGGAACATCAGAGAATGAAACCATATATCATAGAAATATAATTGTATAATTGTAAAATAAAATCACTCGCGGTGTACGTTCTGAATACTACTCAAAGATACATTATGGGAGATTAAATAAAGAGTTGGTAGTTCTCACTATAATAGTTAAAGAAATAGATACTGTAAAGGGTTGATTATGGTCTGGATAAGTTAATTAATGTCTAATTAATAATTTAGATAACATTTCAGGCCTATAGAAAGACCTGCAATAGGCAGATTTTAGCTCTTGCATAATGTATGTTTAAGTGGAGCTTTGTGGAAAACTCGTTTTTGTTATTGATTGACACATTCTGAAAATTCGGGTGACAAAGAAAGTTTTCGGGCAAATAGCCTCAGACAGAAGACACCCCCCCCCTCCCCCCACACACCCCGTTCCTTCCCAACTGCCTATAATAGTGGGAATGCCCGGGAACTTCTGGTCGGTGAGCCTGCACCTACTGGGCGTTCAATAGGTGTTGAGCTGGTTTCATGTCAGATCATATATGGAGGGTACCATAATCTGTTAATGTTAAGCGCTTCTAAGGGTCTTAATTCGCCCTTATGTGGAATCGCAATAAAAGCCGAAGCTACCAAATGGAATAAAACATCCCAACGATACCAGTTTGATTTGCCCTGTCAAGCTATAATAAACACTGAATGATGAATTAGTTTTGGTTTATTTTTGGTCCAGGATCTGGTCCAGGATCTGATCCAGGATCTGGTCCAGGATCTGATCCTCAAGCGCTACTCATCGTAATGTCCTTGTTCCTCTTGGGGGTGGGGGCGCCACTCTTCGAATAAAAATCCAAGGCTCCGCCAATTCAGGTACGATCGACATGAAACTTGGCAAGCGTGTTCTTTGGACAATTGTGCATCGTTTTGATGGACTTTGATTTTTGATATGACGTCACAGTTCCAAGATGTTCTATTTTAGGTGTAAGATACGTACCCGTGTTCTTCATCATGTGAGTATTTAACCCAGAAGTCAACCGATCTCTGTAAATCGTCAGATATTTTCTGGTGGAATTCTTTCAATCTTGACTGTGCGTCCGACATTATTGTTTGTGATGCTGAAAAGCGAATGATTATTTTGACCTTGACATTGTGTTTGATAAGATGTAAATAAAGATGTAGGTTAATTTGATAATATCTACATTATGTTCAATAATAAGTAGATTATATTCTGTGGGCGGTGAAATGTAATGGGGTTTAACGTCCTACTGTTCTGCTCCGACTGGGCGAATGAAGACGGGCATACGCCATACAATGTTCCATGAAGGAAATTTTGCCCGGGCAACGGTACTATGGCCTATTCTTATATCGAATTCCAACTGCCAAGGGATCTTTACGTGCAGGCCAATGTATACACGGGGCCCCGGTTTTTCTGACCATTCGAACGACTAGATAGCTGTCCTTGTCAGACCCTCCGTCCAGTGCACCACTGACAAAGGGGGACAATGTCGGAAAATCCCGATGAAATTCCTCGGTCAATGCAGGAATCGAACACGCGACCTCCAAGCTAGTGATCCAGCGTCTTACTGACTTAGGCACCGTTACTCCCTCTGTGGGCGGTAGAATTGAAATGAAAAGGGTTTAACTTCATATTGCTCTGTTCCGACCGGGTTAATGAAAACGGGCATACGCCATACTGTGTGTTATGGGGGAAATTGTGTCCAGACGCAAGGGTTTCATTACGTGCTCACCGATGAACTTTTTATTTATTTATATTTCTGGTCAAGACAACATTAAAAATTATAACATTTATCACAATTATTAAATATGTTTCATTTCATCCTTTATTATGCACTACAACAAAATAATGACTGTCCGTGTGGAAGCGCCAAAAGTTCCTTTGCTCCCTAGTGCCTAGGACACTAGCTACGCCACTCCAGTCCAGAAGCGCAAAACACGAAAAGGAACGCGTTTCCCCGAAATTTCTGTGTTTCATAGTGATTAATATAAGGAGATCTTATATTTACTTTGCCGTTAAATATATCGTTAAAAATCGAAGTGCATTTAAATAGAATACGTTATACTGAGTAACATCTGGTTTGTTGCTTTTAATATGCCTTGCACGGGATTATTGACTTTAAAGGGTTAAGTTTTGGATAAATTTAAATAAAGAAATAATCAGAAACGTATGAATTATGTGTTCATTCGACCTGCAGACATATACAACAAATAACAGATGGTATACGTACGAAAGACCGACAGGGAATATACGCAATATGACATCTTTTGTTAAACTGTTTAAGTAAACAACAGAGGAAATAAAATAATTGTGGCAAAAACTCACATTTATTTCCAGAGGCATGCAATTTACTTATAAGTACATCACGTGATCTATCATGTGACCTACTTAAACGGTTTATTTTCTTTTACTGCCGATTAACAATCTTGCTATTTTATTGTCACAAATTATATTAAAACAACAACATCCATATCTTTTGTAATCCTCTTAACCGCTTTATTTCCTGTAAATCATATTCAACATTTTAATGCCTTTCTTCAGTTTTACGACAATCGTTTGACAGTACACTACGCCCAATTTATGGCAACTAGGAACGCCCCCTAAAATGTCAACATGTTCCGTCTACTGCTGTGTCGTTTGAATAACTCGTAAATATTTGGGTTTATGTAAGTGGTTAGAAATCATGGCAGTGTTTGAAAAGAAGGCACCAGCCAAAGTTCTTCTCGACGACTCAGAAAGTTTAACAGCGACCGTGGAAAATGCCCAGAAAACATCGGACCATATTGTGAGTTATCGTATACTAAGTATTTTCATTTCGATTTTTTTTGTGTTGACAATTTGTCTGCTGGGTGACTCAGGTCACAAGATGATGACCATTTGATTACTTTTCGTATACTATTTGACAAATTGTTTGAGTGACTCAGGTCACAAGATGATGACCATTTGACTACTTTTAGTTTGTTTTCCCCCTCCGAATACTGCTCCAGTGTGGCAGGATGATCGTTTCTCGAATTGAACACACAACCTCAGGTCCAGGAAATTCTGTGTTTGTTTGTCAAAAGCAATTTCTCAAGGAAGTGATCTTTGAATATCTCATGTCATTGAAGACCCCTTATCGTCCCTAATTTATTTGTAAATACCTTTCAGTAGTTTGCCAATAATGAAGCTGCACATCACGAATCCAGCCCCATGTCATGTCATGCCTATCTGTTTCACAGTGGTATTTCAAAAGCCTTCCTTTAACTAAGATGACTAGATTTTAAAGTAGCTAAGTCTCTAACTCAATATACTCCAAAATCTTCAACATTGAAAACACGATTTATTTGTCAAATTAAATCAACATTGATGTTGTGATCTTACCGGAATAAGATGGGCTTTTGATATCCAATATTTAAGACAAAATAAACATTTTACCATTGGTACTCGAATTGTGTACCATAATGCCCTTCAGCCCCAGTTGTAAAAAGAGACTCGAGGGACCAGGCTAGACACATTGGACCAAATCGAACGGCGTATGTATACTGGAATAACCAGACGCTAGAAATTTGCACTCAATTGAGACTGCTGGCTTAATTATTTCGCCGAACATAACTGATTTGAAATTGGAGTAAAAACGGAAACCATTGAATGTAAATCAGTTTATATACATTCATATTACAGTATTATATGCGTTGCGACCCACTTTTGTCAATTTCTAGGTCCCAAATGTTAGCGATTTAGCTCCTTTAAGGTTGTATATGTAGTATAGATCTGCGTGTGACGTCACATCATATGGCACTGATAAAATGTGTATTGTTAGTTACTTTAGTAATGGATTCTTATCGACTCTGGCCTCTATTGCTTACTGTCTCTTCCTATACACATCTAATAGGAAAATAAGGCTTTTCGGCCACCTCGGTTCTAAGGCTATTTTGGAATCCTTACCGTCTATTTTTCACTCCGAATTCTTCCCTGTTCGCCAAAAGGAATTATTTCTTGCTACATCAGAAACAAATTTATGATAATCCAATACTATTTTCATGTAGAATTGTGCTATACAAAAAACACAATCAAGATTCATTTAAATTGATCCGCTATGATAAAACTGCAGACCCGAGGTCACAGGTTTGTGGCCTGTCCTTAGCCAGTATTACAAATCTAGGAATGGAATCTTACTGTAAACGAAAATTATCGTACTGTAAAATATGTTTCTTGACCTTGCCATCTTCAAAAATCCAAACTCCGTCATTCTTGTTACATTCGGGACATTAACGACTGTCAGATTGATTTGTATTAAACGTACATTACGCCAGAGCCAAATCTGCCTATCTAAATTATTAGTTATCCAGACCATAAACGAAAATTCTTGCTGTACTTTCAGTAATAGTAACGACCAAGCGAATATTTACTGCTGATCAGTTATTGTTTGGGTTTTTTTTGTTATAGGAATATATTTTACGAGTCCAGAGAGGCCCAATGAAGGAAAATTCATGGCAACTAACAAAGCGTTACAGTGATTTTGATAACTTAGAATCACAACTGAGAATTTCTAACATAGAATTTCGTCTGCCACCTAAGAAAGTTTTTGGTAATTTTGATCGAGAGTTCATAGCTGTTCGTCAGTCTGGATTACAGGTATATATCTGATATAGTTTTAGTTTTGTTAGGGGGGTGGCGGGGTGAGGCTTATGTCGATCATATCAGCAACTGACAGCAACTGAATTTATTCATCACATGATCAACAAAATGGCGAATGCCTTAGACGAAACACCCCAAACACATGGTCAGTCTTGCCACAATTCTATTAATACATTATTGTCGACATCATCAACATGTGAAAAGAGGGTTTCTTCGTTCGCTTCCATTTTGCTTATTTATAAAGTCACATGACATGTCTCTTATTATGTGATGTTATTCCCATGGAAACAAGTTGATGCAAGTTGATACGTGTACAGCTGAATGCAAGTAGAGTTGTAAGAGGCGCTCAGGTCGACCTTTTTTAGTGCCATTCAGTTGCTCCCAGTTGCCGAAACACCAGTTGCTTTAAGTTGCAAAGTCGATATAACGCGCACCCCCCCCCCCCTTTATATTTTGGACACATAAAACTACATAGAAGATAAAATATAGAGCAGAATTCAAGTCATACATGTAAATCTAACTCCCAACATATAACTGATATAGCTTTATAGAAATTAATTTAATTTTGAATTACATAAAGCCACACAGAAGATAGAATCTGAATATTCTGAAGTATATTTATTATGGATTGGAATCACATCCTAATTCTAACTCTTATAATAATCCAGTAATGTACATAAAACTTCTTACTTACATCAAATAAACTGGCCATTTGCACTTGTAAAAAGTTTCAAGGTTGCTGAAAATCAGCCTAATTCTGATTACATATATCACCATGGTAATAGATGGCGCTGTTTGAAATTTGTGCAATATTTCATATGGATTTGAATTGTTACAAATGAAATGAAATGGGTTTTAACGTCCTACTGTTCTGCTCTGTCTGGGCTAATGGACACATGCATATGCCATACAGTGTGCTATGAGGGAAATTTTTCCCGAGCAGCGGCGTTATGGCCTACTCTTATATCGAATTCCAACTGCCAAGGGATCTTTTACATGCATGCCAATGTATACACAGCTCCTCGCTTTTTCGTCCCATCCAAACGACTAGACAGTTGACCTTATCAGGCCCTCTGTCCTGCACCACTGACAAGGGGAACCACGCCGGAAATCCTGATGAACTTTATCCAGTCTGTCCAACCTCTTGGGTTTTCTCCGTGTCCTCCCGTTTCCTCCCACTGCTAAAGACCCCTACGTGCAAGCAAATTATTGAAATAAAATTAAACCATATGTTAGTCCCGAAATGACATAGTTTGTGTCGAGTTGACATTAAACACATTTATTCTAATAATTATATTGGTAGAAGAATTACTGGGTTAAGAGTTACGATTGTGACATAAATTCCTCTCCATAATTACGATCCTTGATCTTGAGTGCATTAGCAAGGGCATCTTGATAAGACCCTGTCTATGTATCTTTACTGAATTTTTAGGAGTTTCTTCAAAGTGTTTTATCCAATCATCTACTAGCCGAGTCGATATATGTGAAGAGATTTCTCGACCCCAAAACATACTCAACAAATTTATCAGGTGAGTCTTGTTTTATTATTTTTATATCGTGGTTTTGATGAAAATTATCAGTGTTTTGGGTTGTTTTGTTGTTTTTTTTAAAAGCTGTATCAAAAAACAAAACAATTAGCTTTTCGTTGTAATGAGCTCGGACTGGAAATAATGATTGTAGTGTACTTGATTCAATAAAAGACACAGAAATATCAGTGACAGACATATTGACAGCCATCAGAGAAATTTGTCTGACGAAGCCTGAATATCTACCTGACTATGTCTGTGACAGGTGCCTTATTTTCAGGCTTCCAGAGCTAACTGAAAGGACCCAAGAAGAAAGTCTTTGTTTAAAAACTGGGTTGGATAGCCGAATGGTTAGCATGTGCGCGCTGTATCATAAGGTCTGCCATTTAGTCAACTGGCGTGGTTTTGATTCCCCAGTTGTGTGTGACAAGGAGTAGGTCGCCTCTCCAACCTCATGGATATTCTCTGGGTTATCAGGTTTCCTCCCACTGCTAAAGACCCCTATGAGATAAAATTAAACCATGTGTTAGTCCCGAAATGACCTAGTGGACGTTAAACCCCACCTCTATCTCAAGCACTTTAAGAGAGTGATGCCAATGCCTACTGTATCCTAGCTAGGTAGGACCAACTAACAGTTTGTGATTTGTTCGAAGTGATTTCTTTTTTCACAGTAGGACCAACTAACAATTTGAATCTTAAATTTAATTTTTTTATTTGAATCTTTCAACAGAAATAGCATTACAACATGTTTCTATGATTTTCCGTTCCGAACCAAAATGGGAAGTTATTGAACCTCTACATGAAATAGGTAACTTGATTATTAAAGATTGATTTACATATATGGTTTCCCCTTGTCAGCAGGGCAGAGTGGAGGGCCTGACAAGGACAGCTGTCTAGTCATTCGGATGGGATGAAAAACGGAGGTCCCTGGAACATATTGGAGTGCAGGTTAAAGATCCCTTAGAAGTTGGAATTCGATATAAGAGTTGGCTATAGCGCCACTGTCCAGGCAAAATTTTCCTCATAGCACACTGTACCCACTTGCAGGGCCAGATTTAGGTTGCATGGGTCCCCTGGATGAAAATGTCACTGGGGCCCCTTGCATCAACAGTGAACAGGTAATTGTCTGTCTCACTCACACAACTGCAATTTGTATGTCATTTATCATTATTTACAGTACATGCCCGTAATCCCAAAACCTTGTGTACACTAGAAGATAACACGAAAAAATTATAAAATGAGCATGTATAGTACAAACAGTAAAGCTGGTGGTCAGTGTTTGTTATCTCTCCTGGCAAGTAACATTCTAGTTACCTTCCCTGGCTAGTGTTTGTTCTTGTTGTTCTTGTGGTGGGGGGTTGGTGGGGAATGCCCCTCGTAAAAAGCTGAAGGCTCCATCAATTCATTTACGATCAAGAAAACTTGGCAGGCTTGTTCCTTGGACAATTGCCCATCGATGGCCAGACTTTGATTTATGACGTCACAATTCCAAGATGGCTGCAAAGACGTCATAGTCAGTTCCTGGTAGTATGATGCTTGTACTCATTTATTAAAGATGCATTATATAAGAGCTAAATCTGCCTCTAGCAAGGTTTTATTTTTACTTCTAATGTTATATAGATTATTATTTAGACTTTTATTAACATGACCACCCTATAATTAACTCATTTATTAACATGACCACCCTATAATCAACTCATTTATTAACATGACCACCCTAGAATCAACTCATTCATTAACACAAACACCATAAAATCAACTCATTTAGATGTAGACAGATTAAAATACAATCGCCATTTAATGATTTAATTTAAAAATGGAGAAGCCTCGATTAACAAATAATAAATAATCTATGTTAAAAATTCAAACTGTGATAAGTAATTTGAATAAAATTTTCAATAATTTTATTTTGAATTATCTATTTTGGAAGTATTATAGCCAGAACGGCCAGCTCTGTATATAAATCTTACATAATGCATCTTTAATGTGTGTACATCTTTAATCAGATTGGTTGCTGATACAAGTGAGACATCGGAGGCGACGAGTCATAGTAGTAAATGTAATAAGCCTCCATCAGATTGGTCGCTCATACAAGTGAGACATCGGAGGCGACGAGTCATAGTAGTAAATGTAATAAGCCTCCATCAGATCGGTCGCTCATACAAGTGAGACATCGGAGGCGACGAGTCATAGTAGTAAATGTAATAAGCCTCCATCAGATTGGTCGCTCATACAAGTGAGACATCGGAGGCGACGAGTCATAGTAGTAAATGTAATAAGCCTCCATCAGATTGGTCGCTCATACAAGTGAGACATCTGAGGTGACGAGTCATAGTAGTAAATGTAATAAGCCTCCATCAGATTGGTCGCTCATACAAGTGAGACATCGGAGGCGACGAGTCATAGTAGTAAATGTAATAAGCCTCCATCAGATTGGTCGCTCATACAAGTGAGACATCGGAGGCGACGAGTCATAGTAGTAAATGTAATAAGCCTCCATCAGATTGGTTGCTCATACAAGTGAGACATCTGAGGTGACGAGTCATAGTAGTAAATGTAATAAGCCTCCATCAGATTGGTCGCTCATACAAGTGAGACATCGGAGGCGACGAGTCATAGTAGTAAATGTAATAAGCCTCCATCAGATTGGTCGCTCATACAAGTGAGACATCGGAGGCGACGAGTCATAGTAGTAAATGTAATAAGCCTCCATCAGATTTGTCGCTCATACAAGTGAGACATCGGAGGCGACGAGTCATAGTAGTAAATGTAATAAGCCTCCATCAGATTGGTCGCTCATACAAGTGAGACATCGGAGGCGATGAGTCATAGTAGTAAATGTAATAAGCCTCCACCTCACGTGTATTATAACAATGAAATGCATTTTATTATTGATGTCAACAGGTAAAGGGATCAGGAGGAGGGGGTTTGGGGGGTAGTGTGCGCGTTGTTTCGATTCCTCGGTTGTACGTGACAATGAGTAGGGTCGCCTGTCTAACCTTATGGGTTTTCTCCAGGTCCTCTGGTTTCCTCGTACTGCACACAAGCGAATTATTGAAATAAAATTGAACCATATGTTAGTCCCGAAATGACCTAGTTTATGTCAAGTGGACGTTAAACCCCATTTTTCTCTATCTCTCTCTCAGGTACAAGGATCAGGAAGTCTTATATTATGGTAAAACCATTGGCTCAACCAAAACTAAAACAGATTCTTTCATGGGTTTGTATATACTTGTAGACATCTTGAGGCAACAATCTAGAATCCCTACAAAGCTTTTTATTATATGAGGAGCCACGGTGGCTGGGTGGTTAAGACGCTGGCTCGCTAGCCTGGAGGTCGGGTGTTCGATCCCTGCATTGGCCGAGAAAGTTCATCTGGATTTTCCGACGTGGTTTCCCCTTGTCAGTGGCGCAGAACGGAGGGCCTGACAAGGACAGCTGTCTAGTCCTTCGGATGATACGAAAAACCGAGGTCCTGTGTATACATTGGAATGCACGTAAAAGATCCCTTGGCAGTTGGAATTCGATATAAGAGTAGGCGATAGTGCCGCTGCCCGGGCAAAATTTCCCTCATAGCACACTGTATGGCGTATGCCCGTCTTCATTAGCCCAGTATAGGAGCAGAACAGTAGGACGTTAAACCCCATTTCATTTCATTTCATTTTTTTTTTTATTATATTTTTTTTTTAAATGCCTGAAAGTGTAATAATGTAATAAAATGTAATAAAAAATAAGGGCTGAAAACACAAGTATACAATTATATATATTTTGGTTGTGGTGGTAATTTTTTATATGTTGTTTATTGTTGTTATTATTATTTTAGAGTGATTTTGGTCCTGACCAGTATATACCTGAAAAAGAATTAACAGCATTAATGACATTACTTCCTACTATACAGGTAACTCATTACTTTACAGGTAACTTATTACTATACAGGTAAACTATTACTATACAGGTAATTTACTACTGTACTGGTAACTTATTATTATACAGGTAAATTACTACTATACAGCAGGTAACTTACTACTATACAGGTAACTAACTACTATACTGGTATTAATATACAGTAGGCAACTAACTTATTAATATACAGTTTACCTTCTGTCATAAATCAAATGAAATAGGGTTTAAACCCTACTTTTCGGCACTGAGCATGCAGTGTGCTCTGGGAGAAATTAAATGTCAAGAGTTTTTTTTACGGGCATGCCAAAGTGTACACAAAAGAGACCTCTGTTTTTTATACCATCCGAACAACTAGACACTGTCCCTTGCCAGATCTTCCATCCTGCACTAATAATAAGGGGAACCATGCTAGACAATCCAGAATAATTTATTTGGCCAACACTTGAAAAAAAACCCCAAGATCACTGAGCCATCGGCACGGCACATAAGAGAGGCCTTGAAACTGAAATTCGATAAAGAATAGACGTAAATACTGCTGTCTAGACAAAATTTCCCGCGTATGTGGAAACTGAATGTTGTGTGTCAATCTTAGTGCAGAAAAATACAATCTGATTAAAACACAGAGATCCTATTTCGTTTTGATTTTTTATAGTTCAAAATTTCGTTTTACTTGTCTGTACTACACTAGGATCTGGAAGAGTTGTTATATAACCTGCGTTCTGGATGATGTGAATCATTAGCCAATAAAACTGTCTGTTACACTGAGTTCTTTGCTTGGGCTACATGGAACTGTGGGTAAACCACTAGAAACGTAAACACTGATTGATTTATCAATGTCTGACGTCATATGGTCAGATCTTCATGTATCGACAGGATAAAAATATGAAACGAAATATAGATCTGTGTTTTAATCAGGTTGATAAAAGTAGGATGTTCATTTCTATGTTCTGAAACAATTCTTATTTATGTCTTGTATTCCATATGGGGGGGGGGGGGATGGATGACCGAATGGTTAGCACGCGCGCGCTGTATCATACGGTCTGTCATTGAGTCAACTGGCGAGGTTTCGATTCCCCGGTTGTATGTGACAATGTCGTGGGTTTTCTCCGGGTCCTCCGGTTTCCTCCCACTGCTAAAGACCCCAACGCACAAGCGAATTATTGAAATAAAAAAATTAAACCATATGTTAGTCCCAAAATGACCTAGTTTGTGTCGAGTGGACGTTAAACCCTATTTCTCTCTCTCTCTCTCTCTCTGTATTCCATATGCCATTCTTCATTAACCCTGTCGGAGCAGAACAGTAGGATGTTAAACCCCATTTCATTTCATTTCTGTATTCCATAGGAATATAACATGGAGGTACCGTAAGAATGTTTTTAATGCTAAAACATACTTCAATTTTTGATTTTATATTTTCAGCATCCTTTTATTTTGGCTCCGTTGTTTGCGACGTCCAATGAAAATGGAGGTCTCGTGATAACTGATTTTTACGAGAAGGGGACTCTGAGAGATCATCTGTGTAAATGTAAAGCAAAAGGACATTTTCTTAAAAAATACGCCAACCCGAAAGTTTTTTGTCCGTTAGATATGAGTGCAATTAAAGTATATGGTAAACAGATTCTAGAAACGTTGAAATTTTTACAAGATAAACACATTCCACACGGTAAGTTCCATAATTAATTACAAGATAAACACATTCCACATGGTAAGTTCAATAATTAATTACACAATAAACACATTCCACACGGTAAATTCCATAATTAATTACAAGATAAACATATTCCACATGGTAAGTTCCATAATTAATTACAAGATAAACACATTCCACATGGTAAATTCCATAATTAATTACAAGATAAACACATTCCACATGGTAAGTTCCATAATTAATTACAAGATAAACACATTCCACATGGTAAGTTCCATAATTAATTACAAGATAAACACATTCCACATGGTAAGTTCCATATTTAATTTCAAGATAAACACATTCCACATGGTTAGTTCCATATTTAATTTCAAGATAAACACATTCCACATGGTAAGTTCCATAATTATTTCCAACCTCGTGGGTTTTCTCCGGGTCCTCCGGTTTCCTCCCACTGCTAAAGACCCCTACGCGCAAGTGAATTATTGAAATAAAGTTGGACCATATGTTAGTCCCGAAATGACCTAGTTTGTGTTGGACATTAAACCCCATTTCTCTCTCTCTCTCCTTAATTAATTACAAGATAAAAACATTCTACGCGGTAAGTTCCATCACAATCTGATTAAAATACAGATCTATATTTCATTTCATTTTCATACGCCCAAATGGAAATGTGGTCCTATATTGTGGTCGCCCCAATCCGTCCGTCTGTCGGTCTGTCTGTCGGTCCGTCCGTCCATCGTCCACAATTTCTTGTGAACACTCTACAGACTACATTTATCATCTGATTTTTTTTAAATTGATATATGTTGTTTGCATAAGTGAGATGAAGAATCCTTTTTAATTTCAATAACTTCCGTTAATTTCTTCTGGAGTTATGGCCCTTGTTTCACTTTGTTGCACCTTGTGAACGCTCTAACGACAAAAGTTATTATCCGATCTGTATGAAATTTATATGCATCATTTAAATTAGTAAAACAAAGAAGCCTATTGAATTTCAGTAATTTCTGTTAATTACATCTAGAGTTATGGCCCTTGTTTCACTTTGTTGAATCTTGTGAACGCTCTAATGACAACACTTACCATCCGATCTGTTTGAAATTGATATGCATCATTTAAATTAGTGAAAGGAAGAAGCCTATTGAATTCCAGCAATTTCCATTAATTACACCGTGAGTTATGGCCCTTGTTTCACTTTGTTGTACCTTGTGAATGCTGTAACGGCAAAAGTTATTATCCGATCTGTATGAAATTTATATGCATCATTTAAGTTAGTAAAGCAAAGAAGCCTATTGAATTCAGCAATTTCCGTTAATTATATCTAGAGTTATAGCCCTTGTTTCACTTTGTTGAATCTTGTAAACGCTCTAATGACAACAGTTACCATCCGATCTGTTTGAAATTGATATCCGGCATTTAAATTAGTGCAACGAAGAAGCCTATTAAATTTCAGCAATTTCAGTTAATTACACTGTGAGTTATGGCCCTTGTTTCACTTTGTTGTACCTTTTGAATGCTCTAACGACAAAAGTTATTATCCTATCTGTATGAAATTTATATGTATTGTTTAAATTAGTAAATGGAACAAGCCTATTGAGTTTCAGCAAATTTCTGTTAATTACATCTAGAGTTATGGCCTTTGTTTAACTTTGTTGAATCTTGCGAACGCTTGAACAACAAAAGTTATCACCTAATCTGTATGAAATTCTTATGCATCATTTGAATTAGTAAAATGAAGACGCCTTATGAATGTCAGCAATTTCCGTCAATTACTTTTAGAGTTATGGCCCTTGTTTTACTTTGTTGAACCTTGTGAACGTTTGAACGACAAAAGTTATCATCCGATCTGTATGAAATTTATATGCATTATTTGAATTAGTAAAACGAAAAAGCCTGTCGAATTTCAACAATTTCTGTAGATTACTTCCAGAGTTACAGCCCTTGTTTTAGTTTTTAGAACCTTGTGAACCCTCAAACGACGAAAATTATAATGTCATCTGTATGAAATTGTCTATTAAATTCCCTTAATCACCTACAAAAGAATAATTATGCGACAACCCTTGTCGACTGCTCGGACAATTTAGCTGCTGTGGGCGTATGTTTTGTTGCCTGGCAACCTATCTTTTTATTCTTTCGATGGCCTACAATACATGAAGATCTGACCAGTTGTACTTGGAGTTCGCATCAGAGGTCATACGAGCGGCTTTTGACCCTATGACATCAGAGATTTGATTAACCAACCATAATTATGTTTCTAGTGGATTACCCACAGTTCCGTGCACCTCACGCCAAAAAGTTTGCGGTAACAGACCGTTTCATTGGCTAATCCTTCACATCCCTTTCCTTGTTTCTGCTCTTTAACTTGAACAGGGGTTGGATGGCCAAATGGTTTACCATGTGTGCATTGGATCATAAACTCTGTCATTGAGTCAGGTGGTGTGGGTTTGATTACTCGTCTGTGCATAACAAGAAGTAAGGTCGCCTATCCAACCTTGTGTTTTTTCTCCGGGTCCTCTGGTTACCTCCCACGGCTAAAGACCCCATACGCGCAAGCAAATTATGGAAATATAATTAAACAATATGTTAATCACAAAATGACCTAGCTTGTGTTGAGTGGACGTTAAATCCCATTTCTCTCTCTGTTTCTCTCTATCTACCTTGAAATGTGATACCATTTATGTTTATAATGTATATTTTAGGCCATGTCCATGCTGGTAATATTATATGTTTATAATGTATATTTTAGGCCATGTCCATGCTGGTAATATTATATGTTTATAATGTATATTTTAGGCCATGTCCATACTGGTAATATTATAACATATATTTATATTGTATATTTTAGGCCATGTCCATGCTGGTAATATTATATGTTTATAATGTATATTTTAGGCCATGTCCATGCTGGTAATATTATATGTTTATAATGTATATTTTAGGCCATGTCCATGCTGGTAATATTATAACATATATTTATATTGTATATTTTAGGCCATGTCCATGCTGGTAATGTTATTTTAAGTGATAATAAATGTTATTTAATAGATATTCATAATACTCTACTTGGTCTGCCGTCCTATTATCGACCATTTTACGCTCAGTATAAAAAAATACAGGTACATAACATCTTTTTTTAAAATTTTTATTTGGTTTATTTGTGATTTGTGATTTTGTTGAAAATTTGTCGTCATTGCTCACTACACGTTGTTTATTGATTTTGAGCGTTTTCGTAAATTCTAGGGAGTCACGGTGGCTAGGTGGGTAAGTCACTGTTCGCATGTTTGATGCCTGCATTGGCCGAGAAAGTCCATCAGGATTTTCCAATGTGGTTTCCCCTTGTCAGTGGTGCAGGACAGAGGACCTGACAAGGACAGCTGTTTAGTTTTTTGGATGGGATGAAAAACCGAGGTCCAGGTGTATACATTGGCATGCACATAAAAGATCCCTTAGCAGTTGGAATTCGATATAAGAGTAGGCCGTAGCACCGCTGCCCGGGCAAACTTTCCCTTATAGCACACTGTATGGCGTATGCCCGTCTCCATTAGCCCAGTCGGAGCAGAACAGTAGGACGTTAAACCCCATTTCATTTCATAAGTTCTATCCGGATTATCACCCTTATTATGGTTAATTTCATAATGTTCTAACTCATGACGTCAACTGGCAGACTGTCATCATCAAAAAACTTCATTCAGGAGACGACAACTATCAAGGCTGGTTGCATTATTTCTATTGCGTTTTCCATGTAATTCATTTTTTTTGTTTTTTATTTCTTGTGAAATTTGTAATCTGTATCACTACTGGCTCGGAACTGTACAACAATCTCTAAATCTTTTTTTCTTTTTATTATAACAAAAAGAATGCTGTCATTCAGTAAACAATCTCTATTGTTAGTCATCTAAAAATAACTTTTACAAAATTAACCAGTAACGTTTGATTTGGTGGGGGGAGGGGGTCGGAGTTGGATGTTGCTTAATTATTAAAGTTAAGAATTCTGCACATTGAAAATTAGCTTTTGTGGAATTAAGGGGGAAGGCTATCCAAAAAATTTATTCTGAAATGTTAAAGCTATTGAATTGAAAATAGTATAAGTAGTTAGGAAATGCAATAAACAAGGGAAAACTAGCATTAAACAAAAGTTGTTGCCAGGGTAACACATTTTTGGGGAAAAAAATTATGAAAAACGTAGGTACACTATCTCTGTAACTAATTAAGACATCTTCGCCAAATCTGCAGGATATATAAACTAATATCTACCACAGAATCAGACAGAAAGCAATTTGAATTATCATTAATATTTCAAAAGTTATTAAAATATTGCTCCTAAGACAAAATATTGTATTGAGGCAAATTAAACACCATCATTAAAGAATAAGCAGTCTGAAAATGAGACATTTATCTTTATTAGTGCCAGAGATATGGTGTACCTACATTTTTTATACATTTTCCAAACAAATCTGTTACCCTGGCAATAACTTTTTTTTCTTTTTTTTTAATGTTAGTTTTCCCTTGTATATTACATTTCCTAACTACTTGTACCATCTTCAATTCACTAGCTTTAGAATTTCAGAAAGAAATTTTCGGGTAGCCTCACCCCTTAACCGTAAAGTCCCGAACTTTATTTATGTTTTAATTTTTTCTTTCAGACAGTTGAACTGATTGATGTTTATTGCTTCGGTCAGTTGTTATATGAGATGACGTTCGGCTGTCCGTTAAACGCTCCTTCCTGTGATATATTTCCTCCTGACTGTCCCGCTCAGATAAGTAAGTTTATTTCTAAATAAGCTTTTGGAATTGAATACCAGATTTTACTTTGACACTGTTTATTTTGTTGTGTGCAAGGCAATGAAATGGAATTCAACGTCCCACTGTTCTGCTCCGACTGGCCTACTGAAGACAGAGGGTAAGGCGAGGAACAGAAATGAAATGACATGAAATGGGGTTTAACGTCCTACTGTTCTGCTCCTAAACTGGGCTAATGAAGACGGGCATACGCCATACATTGTGCTATGAGGGAAATTTTGCTCGGGCAGCGGCGCTACGGCCTACTCTTATATCGAATTCCAACTGCCAAGGGATCTTTTACGTGCACTCCAATATGTACATGGGACCTTGGTTTTTCGTCCCATCCAAACGACTTAGACAGCTGTCCTTGTCAGTCCCTCTGTGACAAGGAAGAGTGAAATCAGGAATTTTTGCAGGAGGGAGTTTGCCAAGTTCCTGTTAAAGGAAATTTGACAGTTGACAATGCATGATGCCATCATCGTTTCCAAATTATGTAGGCATACATGCACACTGAACTTTTTAAAGTGAGAAATCCAACACTCCATTTGACGTCAATTGTAGGCCTATATAATAAATTAATAGGATCACATCATTATCGCATGCTTTGAATGCCCATCCCATCTCACCATCTGATGATAAAGGATAAAGCACACGACTGTTACACTCATAAAAAGTGTTGTTTTACAATGTGTTTTTATGTAGCTGAGCAGGGGTCAGGGGGTGCCCCCCCCCCAACTCCCTCTCTAGATCCACCCCTGGAAATGTATTGATTCATTATTGATCATTAGTTGATAAAGATACCTGTAAGAGTATTGAAACGTTGTATGTAACAAACCAAGAAGTAGTAAATCTATAAAGTTGTGTTATTATCAATGTTATACCTCTACTTCTAAATGTCATTTAAGTATAAGGGGGGTTTGATTGTCGAATGGTTGGTGCGTGCACGCTGTATCATAAGATCTGTCATTGAGTCAACTGGCGGGGTTTCGATTCCCCCGTTGTACGTGACAAGGAGTAGGGTCGCCTATCCAACCTCATGGGTTTTCTCCTGGTTCTCTGGTTTCCTCCCACTGCTAAAGACCCCTACGCTCAAACGAATTATTGAAATAAAATTAAACAATGTGTTAGTCCCGAAATGACCTAGTTTGTGTCGAGTGGACGTTAAACCCCATTTCTCTCTCTCACTCTCATTCAAGTATAATACACATAGTAGATTGTGTCATGTGACTTATTTCATTACAGGATCTGTGTTAGAGTCCATTTTAACAACAGAAGCCTGTAAGAATGGAATTCCAAGTATTTCAGATTTATTCCTTCATCCGTAAGTGAAATGTCACCAAATAGCATCATCATCTGCCAGGTTTATTGTCACCAAGTAGCATCATCATTAGCCAGGGTGGCCAAATGGTTTAACCTATGCACTTTAGATCATAAGGACTGTCATTGAATCAAGTGACGTGGTTTCGATTCCTAGCTTGTCTGTCGTTCCTCGTGGGTTTTCTCTGAACGAACAAAGATTTCAATTTTATTTTGATATGTAGCTTGTCACGGCTGACTTCAGTAGCGTTGGAGCAGAACAGTAGGACGTTAAACCCGATTTCATTCCGCAAATCACGTTCAAACTTCATATCGAAACCACATATCATTTGACTCAATGACAGACCTTACGATCAAAAGTGGATGTGTTAGATCACTCGACCACCCAACTCATGGTTTTAATTTCAACCCTTGGCCAGATTATATAATTTTACAGTTTATTGGCTGACCGCTCACCCCCCACCCAACCCCTTTAATAGTTTCCTGCCTTTAATTTTAACCCTTGATAATATTATTTTATTATTTTTCAGTTTATTCGCTGACCGCTCCACCACCCGCACCCAACCCCTTTAATAGTATCCTGCCTTTAATTTTAACCCTTGATAATATTATTTTATTATTTTTCAGTTTATTCGCTGACCACTCCACCACCCCTCTCCCCCCCCCCCCCCCACTACCCAACCCCTTTAATAGTTTCCTGCCTTTAATTTTACCCCTTGATGATATTATAGTATTACTTTTCAGTTTATTCGATGACTGCTCCCTCACCCCCACCCCACCCACCCCTCTTCAAAAGATCAGTTTCCTGTCTTTAATTTAAACCCTGAACCAGATTATATTATTATTTTTCAGTTTATTCGCTGACGTGGGTCAACAGGTTGTTGATAAACCAGTGTTAAAAATTCCTCATAAACTGAAAGATGTGTTAAAAATGGCCAAAACCCAGTTTGAACAAAGATTGCACGAGGAACAAAAACTGGTTAGTTGTTATTGTTAATTTCTTCTGTTACCTGTTAGGGGGTTTAGATGGCTGAATGATTAGCACATGGCATGGTTTTGATTCCCTGTTTGTACGTGACAAGGAGTAAGGTCGCTTGTCCAACCTCGTGGGTTTTCACCGAGTCGTCCAGTTTCCTCCCACTGCTAAAGACCCCAACGCACAAGCGAATTATTGAAATAAAAATTGAAGCATATGTTAGTCCCGAAATGACCTAATTTGTGTCGATTGGACGTTAAACCTCTCTCTCTCTCTCTCTCTCTCTCTCTCTCTCTTCATCAGGATAACAGGATAATGAAGATGGGAATATACCTGTATACTTGACAGTGGCGCTATAGCCTACTCATTGTTTGATTTTCACCTGTCAGGGGATCTTGATCATACTGCGAGTGATGTACACAGAACCTAGGTTTTTTTATCCCATACAAATGACTAGACGCTTTTCCTTGCATGGCCCGCCTTCCCTCTATGGATGACAATGAGAAACCAGGCTGGAAATTCTTTGGAATTTTCTTGGCAAACACTGGGATTGTACCAATCTGATTAAAATACAGATCTATATTTCGTTTTGTTTTGTTATACTTTCGATGGCCTACACTACATGAACATCTGACGAGTTATAGCGATAGGTCACGTCA